GACAGAATGACCATCAAATGTCTTGGAAATATGTAAAAAAAAAGAAAAAGGTTGATGCTACGACTTACTAATCATGTTTGAATATGGGTCACCTGCTTCCAAATCCTTGGCCACATAGTCCAAATATGGAATAACTTTGTTACAACCCTTGCCCAGATGTCTTGGATACATGTAAAAAGGGTTGATGCTACGATTTCCTGATCATCTTTTAATATGGGCCACCTACTGTCAAAAGCGTTGCCACACAGCCCAAATATTGAAAAACCTATTACCACCCTTTGTCCAAATGTCGTGGAAATATGTAAAAAAATGTTGATGTTAAAGATGTGATATCTGCTTCTTATTCATAGTTAACAATATTTATTGTTCCTTCATAAAGAGCCGTAATAATCAGGTGAGCGATAAGGCCATGATGGCCCTCTTGTTGTAAGATCTTTTCACTAAACAAGACCTTAATTGTATCTGATTTGTATTTACTGAAATTTTGAAGTATTGTTTTAGGTGCCATTCACACTGCTACTTCTATGTTGATTCATTTTATTTAACAAAATCAGTTGTGAAAAAAATGATCCTTTAATAATCGTACAGGTTTCCTTTAATAATCGTACAGGTTTAGAATAACTTTGTTAAATATATAATTGTTAATAAAATAAAATGAATTGGAATGGAATATTGTTGTGAAAGTTCAAATGACTATTGTAATGGAGAGAAGGAACTATGTTTTGTGGAATTATTTAATAACCAAAAGTCTATAGAATGATTTTGTGGAATTACAATAACACTTAGGTGTTTGAAGTGTGATATACGCATATTAAAAGAATATACGTAAATATCGTATTTATCGTAAAATTTACGAAGTTGATTTGAAAGTTACAATATAGAATTTAATTTGAATGTGATAATTTGGAATTTATTTTGAATGCTAAAACATGGAGATTAATTTTGAGTGTTTAAGTATAGAAATTAATTTGAATGTTACAATATACAAGTTATTATGAAAGTTAATTTGCATGTTCATTTAAATATTACAATATAGATGTTATTTGAATTTTATTTTATTGAAGTTTATTTAAATATGTAACAATATAGAAGTTTATTTAAATGTCACATTATAGAAGTTAATTTGAAGATTACTTAATAGAAGTTTATTTAAATTTTACAATATAGAAGTTTATTTAAATGTTACAATATAGAAGTTAATTTGAATGTTACAAGTTAAATTGAATGTTACAATATAGAAATGTATCTAAATGTTACTGTAAGGAAATTAATGTGAATGTTACAACATAAATGTTAATTTGAATGTTACAAAAGGAGAGCCAATTTGAATGTTACAATATGGAAGAAAATGTTTTGATTATTTATTATTATACTAGTAAAATTTCTTGAAAGCTGGATCACACTGTTGTTAGATTATCAAAACATATCTTTAGTGCTTGTTTTCTTAACATTTTGCATAACAGACTATAAGCTTTCACAAACAAGGTCAAACCTTATCATTTCCACTGTTGCTGACTTTGGGATCATTATTGAATTCAAGTATGAGACAGACTTGGGAAATTCTTGGATGGGAACCATTTTAGGACAGGGAACCAAAATAACACTAATCAAAGTGCTGAAGCACTGCAGTTAGGGCGTACTTGAATTGGTGCGTCACTTGTAGCTCAAAATAACCATTTTTACTTTTTCCGGGGGCGGCATGGGGACATATAATTCAATGAGTGATGAGTGTTGCCAGTTGAAAAAAATAAACTGCACTATTCAGTTTATAGGTTGAATCAATTATTCTTTGACCTACATGTACATATATAATTTAATTGTATGTATATTATACATGTATGGCCATCACAAACTCATGTTGGTCCTTTTTGACAAGAGCTGTCACACTTAGATACTAGACGCAGTAAATGGAGACAAAACTATGAACAAAATATTATGATACAAAATATATTTCTGTATGAGTATCAAGAAAACACCCAAATCAAATGTTCAATATGTTTGCACCACATAATATGCATGTAACCATGCCATTAAAAGTTATGATTGCCTTTGTACGGTGCACTTCCTCATGCTAATCTCTTTTACTGTGTGAAGTTTAAGTCAAACTCCTCCAATAATTCAATTTATTTTTCGAGCAAGTATCATTAAAAATTATGCAATTAGATAATGCAAACACTAGGTAATGTAGAGTTATGGTTCTTTGACTCTGCACTTCTCAAAAATCCTACAACTATAAGAAGTTTGAATGATATATCAATGTGAGAATGATGATACTATTAATCCTGTAGCAAACTTTGTCCATTAATGTTTTTCATCTAGACTAGAATTTCTAGATATGTAATATCTCGTTGAACTTACATAGTGGATCATTTGGCTTACAAGTATATACATTTTCTTTTTTAATTCACTTTTGTCATTTAATATGCCTTAGTTTCTTATTGTTACAAAGTCTTTTGTTAATTGTGTTTGCTAATTATAACTAGGCTTTAGTTATGTTCTGTTTATTTTGTACAATATCATTATTATGTGATTATATGCCTGTAAAGGCCCATGATTGGAAATAAAGTTTATTCTATTCTATTCAATTTCTCGATTATTATTTCATAACCGAAATATTGCGATTCTATCGTATCGGAATACCTCGCTGGTTATCAATGAATATTACATAAAAATGGCGGCACCCATCTGGGAATGACACTGAAAATTTTTCTGACTGATATAGAAATTTATTTTTCAATTGTTTTTACTTCAAATTTCCATTTAAATATACACATGTAGTCTATTGTCGGGCAAGCCAAAGCCCCGGGCCCGCTCGTTTCGCGGGACCGGCCTTTGACTTCCCCGTATCAACAAAATACTATCAAAAACATTATTTATGTTATCATCCCTATTCTGTTAACGATAGGAAGTCGATCTTTTGAAAGTATGCTAAAAAAACACATTACATAATTATCATTGCAAACAAACAAAAACTCGCCAATTGTCAAAGTATTGAAGTGCGGGTTTTGACAATATCTTGATCAAATGATTTTATACAAATATCTTCATACATAGATCAATTTACCTTTTTTTTACTGCATGGGATTCATTCTTATCTTTATCATTGCAGAAGAGATAAAACAAAAACAGAGAAAAAAAATCCCAAAAGAACGTTCAAAACTGAAATATTGAAAATGTTGCACGCTCGCTTTGGTTAAGCCTGTTTACGGACGGTCATTCTATCCACGCCCCTAGCACCGGCTTAAGCAGAACTCAATATTTTACATAAACTTATAAAATATAAATTAATGTTGAAATATTCGTAGAAGTTTTCATACGGCGGTTATCATGAAACCTTCAATGTTAAACGTTATATATAGTGCCATTCCTTGAAAAGCGCCATATGGTCTCCAAATAAAAGAATGCATGCGTCTTAAGGAAATGTAATTTTGAAAGGGGATCCGTGATTATGAAATATTTCATTTATTGGTAGGCGTTCTACAAGTGGCCCAATAAGAAGGTGACATAAATATTTTGCAATATTCTTCAGTTAAAAAATGTCTAGAAGAGTCTGTATGTACGCAGTGTTTTGCATAAGGCTCCAAGACTCTTCTGTTTTTTTAAAACAACACTTTTTCTCTAGCTTGAAAAGGTTTAATGGTTTATATAAATGTTATGTTGAAATCTATTAAAATGTAATTTATTTGGTTTTAAAGGCCTGGCTGTAGTCGGTTGGGGTGACCGTCTATTCGAATCAAAACTTCAAAATGATCAAGTGAACTGTGTTACAAACTGCGACAGTACGGTGCTCACTGAAAGATAAAAGATATAAAATGGTGCCTTACAAAACGCCCTTATATTTCATAGGGAGTCTTAAATTACGATATAATACACGTTCTCACTTTACTGTATATATGTTTCAATCGACTATGAATTACATTGCACTTAAGTTTCGTTTTTAAACTGGTTCAATCTGCTAGACCGTCTTATAAAACAATACCTCTGTATGGGGTAACATAATCTGACAGATAATTAGTATCTCCTGTCTTAAAGGTGAAAATAAGCAACGGTTCGTATGACAGCTAAAGATTTGACATTTTGTAACTATTTAGTAATAAAAAATACCCCATGTAGTGGTCAAAACAATGTAGATTAACAATTTGGTCATTAAGACAATAAGCAAAATAGATACACGGTGACACGACATTATCAATCAATCCATTAATTACACATGGAATCGTATTTCATAAATTTTATACATTCAGCGATTCTATTTTAATTTTAGAATTTAGAGCCCGATTACACCGATTGACATATGAACATTCTGCATTTAATTAAATATAAATTAAAAATAAATGTTATTGTAACTTGTGCTTTTCTTTCTCACAAACTATTTCTCATTCAGCCATGTTTGACAAGGGATAAGTGTATCAGTTTGTAACAAATGTTATTAAATTTTTCGGTTACTTGACCGATTAGCGGCCTTAATGGTTTATTGAACCCAGAATCAATCAGTTCAGTCAATAATATTTATTTGATTTAGTTAAATGTGGCAGTTAATTCAGTGTCAATATTCTATGACTAAAATCCGACTTCTTTAGAAGTAATAATAATCAGAAAAAGGTTGTTTATGTTATATGAAAAAATATGCAAGTGTTCTAAATTTAAGTCATTCTAATGAATGCAAGCTCACTCGATGAACCGCAGTTGCAAGAGATGCCGAAAAGTTACATCTTCAGCACCTAGTATAAGATAAGAATCCATTTACTTTTTCTAACACTAATACTATCAAACCGCAAATGAAAGCTAATCTATTTACAGACATTTGATATGTTCCACAAGAAAGATTACACCATGTCAACAGAGTACAACGACACTTGGGGATTTTCACTAGTTGCCTTCTCAGAGGGGGTAATCTCTCAACAAGGAGGTCTTCACTGAAATATCTTTGATATGATATCTATTTTCTGTTCCAATCCTTTCATATCTCAGCGCGTGTATAAATACGAGTGCTCGTTATTGCCAAACTTAATCTAAAATTGACCAAGCAAGGGATCACATTGAGTCGCATTTCTTAAAAGACGAAATAAATTCAGAATGGTTTTGAAAGTAGAGAAACCTGTGAACTGCATGTTGATTGGGGATGCAATGATCGGAAAAAGTACGTTGGTACAAGCGTTCATGGAAAAACATCTTCCACAGACACCTTATGTAGCAACTGTGCATGAAACTTATGAAGGTAAATTCATATTTACTTTGATATTTTTTCGTCTTTAATATAGATTATTCAAATGTAAAAAAATCATTTCATTTTGAGCTTACAGGATGAGATTCTCAAATTATTCTAATGTGTTTAAACAGATATAATAATTATTATTTAGATTTACTTTGTATTTTATATTTAACGTTGTACTTTTGTTTATGACAATGTATATTAATATCCCTGCCTTTGTTATAATTTCAGGATGTCTTGATGTTCAGGGACACAAACATAATTTTAGTATCTTGGACTACGCTGGTCAGCATGATTATGAGAACATGCGTTCTTTCTCCTACAAGGACAGCGAAGTTATCGTTCTTTGTTACTCTGTTGTTGATCGTACATCTCTTGACAGCATCAAGGAATTCTGGGTACCGGAAGTTAGTCACTGTCGTCGTAGAAAACCGATCATTCTCGTGGCTACTCAAACTGACCTGAGAAAAGATGAAAGCAAAGACTCAATTAGTGCCGAGGAAGGCCGACAACTTGCCAAAGATATTGGTGCGGATTCATTTGTTGAATGTACGGCGTACGATAATGACTCCGTTAACCACGTGTTTGAGGTCATGACGACAGCTGGACTAAAATTCCGGAAAAGGAAACATAATTTTGTGAAAAGAGTCCTGGGAAAATGAATGCTTAAATAAACCTGCTCCTGTTGGAGACAAGAGAAACATTCACAAAAGTATGATGATATTCAAGTCAATGTTAAGAAAGCGTTGAAGGAAAGGAGGCAGCTAACGAAGGCCTTAAGTCTTGACTTAATATTAAAACATTCGCCTTACCTAATATTGACTGTGAATGTGTTTATTACGCCGGAAGAGAGGAGAGAGACACGTAGAATCTACGTAACATTTTTTTTTATATATAAAATCATGTGACATTATATCAAAGTTTAACTTTATACTATGTTATTTAGTAATATCTGTTAATTAAAATAAAGATTATCAATTATGTATGATTGTATCCATAATTATGAAACATAAAAAAGAAGAAATTTCAAGTTAAAATCTTTTCTACATTTAACATGAATTATAAGTGTTCTGATATGTGTGATCACTTAACAAGTAATTTGTTTATCAACATGTGAATATTAGATTAAAAAAAATGTATGAATAAATGCCCTTTAGTTCAGTTATATTTTCTTTTGTTTATAAAATATATGTTTGAACGAAGCATCTTTTGTATTGCCTATTTCCGAATATACTTATTACAACAAGTACATATGTATTAGCTAGAATTCATCATCCTATTTTCGATATACGGTGAATTCTGAATACTCCAAATATGACAACGGCACGGTCCCTTTAAAGGCCGTTATAGCGCAAAGATGTAGAGAGAGAGAAAAATACTCAAGAATCATATTTCTTATTAGTATTGTTTTTCATTAGACAATTAAACAAAAAAATATGACAAAAATAAATGAAAAACACAAGGCTTGTTATAGAAAATTGATGTTCATATAGAACATGTTTCTTTTAAAGAAAAAGATGGCTCAAACATTTATGTACAAAAGTGTGAAATGAATAAAGGTCTAGATTTTAAATAGCGTTTTTGCCTCTTTTTAAATGTACGAAAGAATAGAATTCTGATTTTTCAACCAGCTGACCGACCTTTCAGTTATTAGACAGAACGGAGCCGTATAAGGTATAGAATTGATTGACATGCGACATGGTATGATATTACCTCACAAGGTGTATACTGTTACAACAACGAAATCTAAAGCTAAAGGTCGCTTAAGAAAAACAATAGTGTTAAATAGACAGTATTTAAACTATCTATGGCTCGCGGGGTCCTATATCATAACAATATTTGTAGCCAGGGTTAATTCTAAATTAAAATTCGTTGACGTCAATGAAAGTTTTAATCTATATAAAGTTATATTTATCAATTTATGTATTTTCTAATTTTAGAACAATAGCATAGTGCTGAATATGAAAAATAGGAATATCAATAACATTATCAACATATTAAGGTCACGAGTCCTAATTTATTGGTGATTTAATAAATGGTTTAATTAATGTTTATATATCTTGGCAAATTTAGCCGTCATTTTTTCATTTACTATATTAGGACGGAAGTATTAAGAAAACTCAAAAATGTGATTGACTTTATCTCAGACTCTTATTTACAAAGAATAAACAGTTATATCAGACAGCCTAATATTGACGTTGACAGTCATAACCTAAGCGGTCCTGGAATATAAAAAACGAACCTCTTGGGTATCACAAAATACAACCCGATAATCGATTGTGCTGTAGATTTTTAATAAATCAGCGATTGTCAAGATATCTTTGATTTATTTTCACTGTTACAAGCCTCTTGTTGAAATTTGTTCTTAATGGCTTTCACAAAACCTTTACACATTTTATAGAACCAATATAAGTTAAGGCTGTCCAAACAGAATCCTAGTATAAGCACAGTGTGTCGGATATGTCCAAGTGTTAGCGCGGACTCTGCTCGTATTACCATGATTATCTTATACCAATATATTGGCATTGCGGCAATACGAAATATGAAGAAAGTTAACACCATGAGAAATCCATTTACAACTACAATTGTCCTTGACCTTGGAGTTTTACTGACATCAAAAAACCATCTGAAAGTAGCAAAAAATGATCTGTATCAATGTATTTGTTTTATTTATATTCTTACTTATACATTGTAATTACACCGTAACGTTATTTACAACATGAAAGTATCTACTGATTCGTATCAAATCATGCTAAGTTTGAAAAAAATGGAAATCGAACAATGAACAAAAATCACCCCACATTGAAGCGACATACTTTAAATGTATTTTAATTATAAAAGAAACTGTAAAATAATGTAAGGCGACCTTTGGTTAACTGGAACAGTTGATGCTTCAGCAATTAGTCTGAACATGGCAAGATAGCACAATATCCCATACACCTGGAATTTAAAAATTGAACCGTTAAAGTTCAGTCATTTTCTGTCTAATTTGGTTCTCTACTTTATGTTTAAACTGAACAAAAGACGAACGAATATAACTAAAGCACATGTCATATTACATGACGAAAAGATTATTTCGGAAAGAGAACATGCATAGATATAGTAATTTTAATTAAATATTTTTGTTAAATCGCAATCCCTGGACATTTTCAGTGTGGTCGACAGTGATCTCGTTTTTGAGTCGGCAAATGCTATTTCGTTAGTAAAGTGTCATAAAAAGCACATTATTCATCAACTTTATCATCAAAGCATACAAAATAGATAGATTAAAACATAGGCATTCTAGATCAACAGTTACTTACGACAACGTAGAAGTATGCATAGACAGTTGCAGCATGATGTACTATATAGCCGAACATTTCCCCCTTTGTCGTCTTACACCATATAAACATACACAATAAATCTGAAATATTGCATTATGTAAGACAAGCAATATACAAAACTGACAATTTCTCAAATAAAAGAAACTCATGTACATGAAAATATATTTGAATATATAGTTAGTAACAAATTTTGATTTAACCAAGAACTGCAGAAATTAGTTTATACAAATTTATTTTAGTTCGATTGTGTTGGAAGCTACAGTGTCGAATCCGTTCCTGGAACCAACCAGCAGTACTAAGCAATGAATGTAAAGTTTCTAGCTCAAGGAAACAACGGCTTGCCCCTGACAGGGTTTGAACCAATGCGATCAGCAATCCATAGATTACTAGTCCGACGCGTTAACCACTCGCCACGCCGCCATCCAGCAAATGCAGTAATTAGTAATTGCTGGTATCTCTAACAATCCTATATTATCCAGTTAATGAATGACATTAAAATTTAGATGTTACATCATGTATACCGCCGATTTGAAGCTATTTTTTTACACTGGCCAAATCCGCATTTTCCGACAACGGCTTAACTGTTTAAAATGAAAATGCGAAGTCTTTCAATAAAAAATCCCTAAAATTGCATATCATAAATATCACTAGATAAATCGCTACCTAATTACCTGCAATCATATAACCTATAATAATGGCACATGCTGTTCTTGCTGTTGGACTGTCGAACCATATCCTGTCTGTTCTTGTCTCAGGTTCTAGCAGCAAAACGTATGCAGAGAAGATAACAGATATGACAGCATTGATGTTTGATATGAACCTGTAATATATCTAAATATTGTAGAACAGCATAATTTTGTAGTTTTGAATATTTTCCAAAATTCTCTTGGTGATTTCTTCCTTAAATCGTTCATTTTTCGACGACTATGAGAATTGTTAAAAAAAAACATTATTTGATTTTCTCCATTGATATTTGTAATATTTTCTATTTCTAAAAAGAATAGCTCTCTCTTCTGAAGAGTAAGATAAATTATATTTTGCAATTGCATCCTTGTACACAGCCAATTTTTGTGAACATAAATGTCTTATCAAGTACCTAAAGCACAGTATTCTATAATTCGTTAATTGATTTAATTTCCCTAAATGTTACAGAAAAGATAAAAAAGTATAGATTTACCGATTTGTACATTATGGTTCAGTTTGAAAAAAAATCATTTTTGAAATATAAAATATAAAACAATAAAGTTGCTGTACACCAGCAGACAACAACATCAGCGGTTCTATGTGAATTTAGAACGATTTGCTTCATTAGTTCTGCAAAAAAGTCAGAATTATTAAGTACTTCTACAGAATTCTGAAATCCCGAAACTCTCTTTTATACAAATTGGTGTTTTTAAAAGAAACAAATGGTAATTTATTAAATTTCTGGTCAAAAAAATGTTAAAATATGTCGTCAGATTTAGGTTTATATTTTGGAATAATGATAACAATTAAATATTATAATATCATCAAATGCAACAATTGTGCGTTGAAATGTGTGCCTTTTCTAAATTAATAGCTATAATGTGCTAAAAATAGAGTTTAATCAAGAGAAGTATCTAAGTTGCGTTAATAATGTAAAACATCACAACATGTTATCAAGGTAAGACCTGTGCTCTTCACACAAATTAGCTATAGAAGAGGGTAGGCATAGAAATATTGAAAGAAAGCAACATTTATGTACACAGAAAATTAAAGTTTTTCCTATAAGTACGGGATTTATTTTCATTTCATGCTGTGAAAATTATTATACTATTTCATACAACTCGATGAAAATATACAAAAAGCTTGAATGTCCTTTATATGTTATTAAATAAACGTATGTTTACAACAGTTAACATTTCTTTCTTTGTGTATCTAAAACCCTATAATTACAAGCGTTTCAACATGATTCATCGCTTCTTAATGGTTAAACATTGATTTGCAATGAATGATACGCACAATAGCCTCACGCATTAGTATGCTCATTGCTCAAGGCTGAAGATCAGGTGATATGCTAGCCCAACAAATTGTGCGCTTTAGGGCTTTTTTATATTGACGATAGTCGCTAAAGAAAGACATCTATGAAATATCAGATTATAAAATCGGTCTGTCTTGCCGTCGAAATATTGAGACTAGTGATATGCATGAAATTTACAACATTTATCAATGATGAACATAACTTATCTGGCTATTAACGTTTAATTCCCCTTAATTTTTTCACGTAAGTTCCAAAAAGATTGTCATATTTATTGACTATGAAAAACTGTTGGTCACAAGCTCGAAAATCAAATTCCGGACATTTTTTTAAATGTTATGCTAGCTTATAAAATCATCGTAGATTTCTAAATGCTATCCCATTTCAAAGAATGAAACATTAGTTTAAAGCGAAAGACTGTACATGTTTTACGTGGTGTTAAAAAATTTGAGCTTATTTAACTTTTGACTACGATGAATCTTGTTTATACAGTCTATATACAGTGCTTCTTGATATAAAACATTGCGTATATACATGTACAATCGTACAAACATTATATTCTATCGACATCTCCTTATCAAAATATGTTCACAATAAAAATCTTCATGAATTATTTAAGGATAGAAATAGAAACAAAGTACCTGTCGTTCCACTCTTGTTGTTCATAATTCGGCAAGTCCTTGTACGAACTAGTTATACGTCTAGAGATGAAGGGGCTGACAAACCGGAACAAGACAAAATAAATAACAAAACTGGTTCCTCCTCCATATATCAGGTACGAATTATCGTAATCTAAAACTTGATCTGACATTATCAAGAAAATTTCATCATCGCTGAACACAAATATTGTAAAATGCGAGAGAGTATAATCTAGCAATTGCACTTATAATAGTATGCCAATTTCCATAGCGAAAATAACCTATAAACATGTACATTGTATATATTTACACAAGCGTGTATTACTATGTTGAACTGTTGTTTCAGCTTCGTTGACGTTTGCATGAGGTTAATAGAACTTTACACTGTTTATAAGATACTTCACTCCTACATCCTAGTCAATATCATACATCCGTGTCTCTATCTATTTTATAAGATTACTTTTTAGCTGAATGTTAAGTTCCATAATTGAATAAATGAATCATTTTTCTACATAATATAATTGGCAAGGAAAGTTTTAAAAAAGGAAGACCTATGGTGTACATTGTATTGATCTATATAACCACGTTCACAGAACAACAACGTTGTATAAACTTATCATAAACAACATTATGTGGTAACATCTGGCGGCCAGATTAGTTTATATATTTATATATCATCGCTCTTTATTACACGAACTACGTACATTAATTATATAGTTAAGATGTATTAATTGATTTTAATTCGTTTAATTTAATTTAATATGTAATGAGACTTTCATGCACGGAACGCATTCCACCGGCAATTCCCCAGTCTCACAGAATCACCGGCAAGATGCGTCGAATATGTACGAATAGACATTTACTTTTTGTTGTTTTTTAGTTTTTGTTTGTTTGTTGTTGTTGTTGTTGTTGTTGTTCTTTTGTTGTTGTTGTTTGTTTTGTTTTATCTGACAACCAGAAAAAAGATTATTGAATAGCGGGATACATGAGACTGACGTATCTAATGTTATCTAATGCTGCATGTGTCCTATTTATTAAACGGTTGAAGTTGAAAAATAAATCATAATTCTAATTAATAACTAGTATTGCTACTTTAATTAATGGAGATTACTGATGAAACATAAGTTACGTTACTTGAGTACCATGTGGTCATTGATTTATACAATATGCAGCAATTGGTATTATGATAAATTAATATATATGTTTTGTCAAAATAGTTTATATTAACGGTACCTTTTTGTAAGGACGAGGTGCCGAGAATAAATGCATCATTTATGTAATTGCCAGGATTCATGGTAGAGCGTATGAGATGTATAATTTTCAAGTAAAACTTCAGATACATTCCTAATATGAAGAAAAAGGTTAACCAAACCTATTTTAAGGTTCATAAAGAGTAAATATATTCGAGAAATGAATGCCAATTTTTATACAACATGTCAGGATCATGACCATCTTATTCATAATAAATCATCAGTACAAGAAGAACTTTAGATATATCAAACTTAAAATCATGAAATATATTTACTCAAACCCTAAAGCGTTTTAATTAACAGTTTGTTTTAATCACTAAGTCTTGTGGGGTAAATTTAGTAAGAGTGCTAAGGTGAATTAATTTATATGTTCCAATGTTCCCGTATAGATCCCCTTTTTCCACAAACATTTCAATACTAAAAATAAATGCACAGGGCTTAAAGTTTTGGCATACAGCATTTCTACAAGTTTTATATAATTCATGCACTCGTGTTCAAAATGGCTTCGCTCTGGAGATCTTATTAGACACAGACTTGCATCATAATGAACATGTCCATAAGATATTTGGCGTGTAACCTGACCTTCTAACTGACCTTCTCCTCATTATGAAATTATTATTCCTGTGTTGAAGAATCATGATGAGCGATCAATCTTGGTCCTTTCGTTATTTATCATTTAGCATAAAAAGTTCATGTACATCTTATCTAAAGTACGGTAAATGGGATCTTTTGAACGAATAAAAAGTGTTTAAGTTTTTGACACTTCAGGGTCGACGAACATGGTTTTGGATCGATTTGAAGTCCTTGAACAGGTACCGGTTAAGAAGCATTCGTTCCGACATTGTTGGTATACATACTTCTGGTAAGTTACACAGATATACCGGTGATTATGTAATGTTCTGTAAGATTTAGATAATTCCGGTAATGAACTGACAACCTATGTAGGTCATTTAGTGAGCGTTACAAAGAAATCAGACAATGAGAGAGCTGCGATGCTCTGTATATGTTATTTAATATTCAATGGCAAACTTAAAAATGTATTTTAAACAAAATTTTCATTTATAATCTTTTCATTTCATAATGAATTACATACAAATAAATTTCACGGATTGTGTAAGAAGCTTTAAAGATCCTGTATATTGTACTTGACGTTGTATTTAGAATCTATCTATAGTCTATGTTTAATGAGGGTCCATCCGCCCGTTGATTGAAGTTAAAGCTTAATAAGGGTCCATCCGACCTTTCGGGCACAAAATGCAGCTTGCGCTGTCGAGTACGGACCCCGGACATGTCACCAGTCATGTCCTTAAAGAGTTAATTTTGAAGCACAAAGTGGTGATAATTTACATCCATGCAATTTCCACGGAGTATTAACCAAAGATATGAATTTTGAGCCAAAAGTAGGTCACTGTACGGCGGTCAATGAGAACCTAAATGTACAGTAACCTGTGCTAATTATGCTTATAAAACAGTTTTCAAACATCGAAGAATATGTAAAATATGTACTGCAAATATTTGTACATATTATATGTATTCATTAAAATATATGCAATCATTTCTCATTGAAAAATTTGACTTAGTCTTTATAAAAAAATTTATTTTACATGAAATGTTAAATTCGGTAATATCTTTATAAATAATCCTTTTTGGAACTTACAAAATTGATAAATCTTAGTTTGAGCATCATATTTATGATATAAAACCATAAAAAATTGTGTTAAACGCTATTTAAAAACAGCCATAGTTTAGTTTTTATGTTCACAATTGATATTGTGATATTTGTTGACAAGTACCATCTGACATGACCTACTTGTCGTATGAACATTCTTCTCCATGTCTGTTCAAGAATCTCGACTTCTAGTACAACGTGTTTGTTTTGTCTCCATGTTCCCGATCCTGACTGATACATATCTAATGGCCCTTGTATTATTTAATGTTAGAATGTTGTTGTTTAAGCACCATTCAGTAGCATTGTCATTAGGTGACACCGTCGTATGTGATATGGTTCTGAGATTTACATATTACTATAAATGATTAACAAAACTCTGCAACTGATCTCAAATTTATTGCATTTACATACATGTATAAAATACACATTTATTCAAGAGATTAATGCCAATATCAGTCCTGACAAAAACACTAATTAATTAAAACATCATATTTATTTTGGCTATAATGAACAAGCACACATGTAAACAAAAGATTATGCTGAGGTAATTGTATCAAATAGATAACTATCATACAGTTTTCAATTTCTCCTTACTGTCAGGACCGCTGACATTTAGAATTCCTTTTAGTGCTTTAATTCCTTTTAGTGCTTTAATAAAGCCTTTAAACATTTTATAAAACCACATTATATTGAGAACATCTAAAACAAAACACGGTATATACATGATCAATTGTATGTGTCCCAGCCTCCAGACGGCCTCAGTGTATGTAACCATCCAAATCTGGTACCAGTATAGTGGCATTGCCACTATGCGGAAAATGAAGAATGTGATCAACATGCAAAATCCATTTAAAACCACTATAACACGTGCTCTAGGGTACCCTGTTATGTCGAAATACCACCTACAATATAAAATAAATATATACATGTTAGCAATTAAATTTGTTAATATCTACGAAATTAGCTTGGTCTGAAAAATGTTGTTGTTTTTCCTTTGTTTAGAAGGAAATCATAATAAAATAACAACGAAAAGGCACAAAGCATTTCATATATAAAGTGTTGTACTTTTCTTTTTAAAAAATGAAGAAACTTTGTCGTTACAAGCAAGAAGTAAGGGAAGGGACGAAAATGAAAATAGAAAACGTGTGTTATGCTTGAACTATTAAATTGTGTGTATATTTTGATGAATTACCTTTGATTTACCGGAACAGTCGACACTTCTGCTATAAGTCGAAACATTCCAAAATAGCATAACACCCCATATGCCTGAAAAAAGTATGTTAAAATTATCAATGTGTTGATAATATTGTCATGTTTCCAAGTTTTTGTTATGTTACCGTCATGCAAAAAAGAACAACTTTAAAGTCTTAAATACTAGTAAAGCAATATGTGAAATTTCTATTCATTTTTATCCATGTCATTCATTTACCGATAAAATCATTTTATATTTTTTTTTTCATTTATTTTGTTAAATTGCTCTATATACATACTACTTAGTATTTACATATTGACATTGACAAGTGATAATGCCTTGTGCATGGGTGAAATAATCAAGAAATAATAGTGCTTTCGATGCTCTTACGAAACCTTAAAGAATAACAACAGATCGACATATCTAATGCCGTTACTAACATTGATAACTTGTTCTCGCAACAGTGAATAACACTAATTAAGAAATAACACAACCATGTAAGTAACTGAGCGCCAGAAAGTCTCTCTAGCATAACTGCCACCTGTATTCATTTAATTTCAATGATATTCTTACCGAAATAAAATAGTAGGCATACACCGTTGCTGCATGATGAAAAACATAACCCAGGAACTCTCCTCTTTTCATTTTACACCAAAAAATCATACACAAAATATCTGTGATAAAAACATTTCAAACAAGGTAATAATTTAGAATGGGAGTTTCTAATGTGTAATAAAATGCTTTGTTGTAAAACATTTCTACTTTTTTTTTTCATCAATTTACTTTTTTTTACAGAAAAAAACCCTTTTGGTTGCGGGTTTTATTACAGAAAAATAAGGAATATAAAAACCCAAAGGGGAAAGTAAATCCCAAATAAAATAATTACTTCAGAAAAACAAATCTTCTTCAAACTGTTGGAATGCATATAAATACATGTATATATGTGTTATCAATGTTATATTTTGGTCCTTCAGGATTATTGATTCCAAATACTGTATAAAAGCCGGTGCTAGAGGGCCGGAAACATACAGTGCATTTTTATTATCTCTCGTGAACAGACTCGATCGTTTATGCATTTTTTTCATTTTCAATGATCTAAAGGGCTCTCCTTTTCCAGAGTTTTACCAAGATACTATACTTACCAGCAAACATATAACCTACAATGACAGCACATGCTGTTCTGGCTACACCACTGTTGTACCATACATCTGCCCTCGAACCATCCTCATATAACAGGCAATATCCAGACAACAGTACAGATATCACAGAGTTCACGTTTGAGATTAACCTAAAAGAAAATTATTACAGCGTTTATTTCATAAACCTAAAAGAATATATTACAGTGGCCACGTTTGAGACAGATATAAAGAGTATAATTATATTACAGCGTTTATAAAGAGTATACTTATATTACAGCGTTCATAAAGAGTATACTTATATTACAGCGTTCATAAAGAGTATACTTATATTACAGTGTTCATAAAGAGTATATTACAGTGTTCATAAAGAGTATACTTATATTACAGTGTTCATAAAGAGTATACTTATATTACAGCGTTTATAAAGAGTATACTTATATTACAGCGTTCATAAAGAGTATACTTATATTACAGCGTTCATAAAGAGTATACTTATATTACAGCGTTCATAAAGAGTATATTACAGTGTTCATAAAGAGTATATTACAGCGTTTATAAAGAGTATACTTATATTACAGCGTTCATAAAGAGTATATTACAGTGTTCATAAAGAGTATACTTATATTACAGCGTTCATAAAGAGTATATTACAGTGTTCATAAAGAGTATATTACAGTGTTCATAAGAGTATACTTATATTACAGCGTTCATAAAGCATACTTATATTACAGCGTTCATGTTTGAGATAAACCTTCAAGAAAGATAATAAAGCGTTCATTTTATAAATTTTAAAGGTTATATATAACAGCGTTCAGCCTACAGACAGATATGACAACATTCATTTTATGAACCTCAAAGAACAATAAAACAATGTTCATATTTGAAATAGACCTAAAGGAAATATATAACTGCGTTTATTTTATAAACCTTGTAATATTTTCAATTTTGTGTACGTTTATATACAGGTTGTAATTTTACGGAGTTCTGCAGTAAATTAATAAGAACACAGATGTGAATTAATCTAGTTAAATAAATGGCGGGAATCGCCTGATTAATATATATGAGCTGCCCATTCAGGCATTCATGGAATAATACTGTACTTTGTTACAGCGATAAACCTACAGCGTTTATTTTATATATTACATCGAACACGTTTGAGGTAAACTTAAAAGAAAGCTATTACAGTATTCATTTATAAAACGAAAAGAATATAATTATATTACAGCTTTCGTGTCCGAGATAAACATAAAAGAAAGATATTACAGTAGCAAGTCATGTATAACTAGCTACGAAACGAGATATGGTGTTATTTCGTGTATGAGCAATTTTCCCTCTGACCCACAAAAATATCTCTAAATCTAGTTTGAACTTCAAAATATTTTGACTACCTACAATTCTAAATAAAGAAAACACTTATATCTGACAAATATAAATGTATCGTACAATAACGCTATTGTACGACAACGATTATTAATGCGAACGAAAACAAGACACTATCGCAATATTACTATCGTTAAAACGTACTGTCGCGTTATCATTATCGTACTGCCGTATTATCGTTGTACTATACCGTACTATCGAAATTTTCGGTTTTTATTATCGTACTGCCCAGTATCTCGTTTCAAGCAACACACTTCTAGGCGATGGTCCTAACCGAAAGCTATATTTATCAGGCTACGTAAGGTAATCTTTTAATTTGGCAATAAAGGGTATCATGTAACAATTTTAATAGGTATTTATACAACATACCTGATATTGATATTCTCATTTTTTTAGTTATTTTAAAAGCAACAACTTTATCTGAATGTAAGGAATACCTGTCGTTCCATTCTTGCTGTTCGTGATTCGGCAGGTCCCTGTATGTTTCCGTAATACGTCTCGATAGGAACGGACTAACAAACCGGAAAATAATAACGTTGATAACAAAACTCGTCCCTCCTCCATATATTAGATAGGATGGATCGTACTCCAGAATTTGATCTCGCATTCTCTGTAATATAAATTAACAAAATGATTTATCTATAATTACAAATTCTACGACATATCCACATGACAAGTTAAGATATGTACAATGCTACTTACTAATTATTTTCCTTTTCCTTTATCGCACATATATAGGCTAACATATATAAGTATTAATTAAGATGTTTCCACTCACTTCTTTCAAATTACATTTTAAAGTACATCAAATGTAGGAAATTATAGTGATGTGGTAAAACAAGTAGGTTTCATACTGATTTTATGAGTATTTATATTGCACAGTGTGAAAACATGTACATTTCAGATGTAATAATATTTATCATTGTTATCAGATATTCTGTGTCAATGTACGGCTGTTTATAAATCAGTTAGTGTCATTATAAAGTATTGAGTTTGAATATGTATAGTAAATGAAATAACTAGGCTACACATTTAAAACACACAAATGTTAAACACTTTCCTCCTGATAATGTGCAGACAACTGTTGGATGACGAAGACCTGAATCGCAGTAATAGTTCCAATGTAATAGGAAACAAATGATTAAAACAAGTAGACTCAAATTTTCTATGTTAAATAGCTTTTATACCGCATATGTGTCAGAATTTAATACAATAAATGTTTTAATGACTTTTAAATAAATTCGCTTTAAATCCTTCCTGTTAACTTTTATGAATACACGCTATTGAATGTTACCGTGTAAACTGCATACTTTATTACCACCGTAAACATTTATCAAATATCTGTATTTTGTGCACTATCCTCCAAAATCTAAAATGACTAATTGGGTCATCTTGCGTATCAAATTTGAAGTAAATGAATCTCATTTAAAATCATTTGAACCGTTCTACAAATAATAATAATAATAAATAAATAAATAATAAATAATGATAATGAAATATATTTACCAGAACGTGGTTTGCATCAATTGACAATTTTCTTATAGACCTATACAATATCCAAAGCTATCCCGAAACAAATTTATCAAGTTATCATGCGGACAGGAAAGATAAATTACTCATCATTTTTTCTCAAGTTTTATTTCTCCACATGTAACTTGATCAGTAATCACCATTTCTATAAATCACTAAACAAGCATAAAATGGATAATGTTACTTAACATGGCCTTTCTTTAAAATCACAACAATCTTATAATGTCACCTCATACTCCAAGTCAAACACCAAGATTATGAAAATATAGTCTTTTTGTGCATAACTTCCATGGGTGGAAACAGAAATAAATATGCATAAATATGTTCTTTATAAAGATAGATAGATAGATAGATAGATAGATAGATAGATAGATAGATAGATAGATAAGATAAGATAAGATAAGATAAGATAAGATAAGATAAGATAAGATAAGATAAGATAAGATAAGATAAGATAAGATAAGATAAGATAAGATAAGATAAGATAAGATAAGATAAGATAAGATAAGATAAGATAAGATAAGATAAGATAAGTAAGATAAGATAAGATAAGATAAGATAAGATAAGATAAGATAAGATAAGATAAGATAAGATAAGATAAGATAAGATAAGATAAGATAAGATAAGATAAGATAAGATAAGATAAGATAAGATAAGATAAGATAAGATAAGATAAGATAAGATAAGATAAGATAAGATAAGATAAGATAAGATAAGATAAGATAAGATAAGATAAGATAAGATAAGATAAGATAAGATAAGATTAGATAAGATTAGATAAGATTAGATTAGATTAGATTAGATTAGATTAGATTAGATTAGATAGATAGATAGATAGATAGATAGATAGATAGATAGATAGATAGAGATAGATAGATAGATAGATAGAATAGATAGATAGATAGATAGATAGATAGATAGATAGATAGATAGATAGATAGATAGATAGATAGATAGATAGATAGATAGATAGATAGATAGATAGATAGATAGATAGATAGATGATAGATAGATAGATAGATAGATAGATAGATAGATTGTAGCACAAATTTTCAATTTACATATTTCTGGAGAATGAACGTTAACACCATTTAGTACTAAAGTGAGCTTATCTATTATAAAGCGTTTACATTCTTAAAGATATAAAAAAAATGGATTTTAAACTTAATTATATGCTGTAATAAGATTCCATTTATCAATGTTTCATACTAGACACATTATCAAGTAATTTCAAGAAATAAACAATATCACTTTTTAAATAACAACGAGACAAAATTTATACATTGATTTACAGAGCATTTAGTTTGTTCAATTCGATGTTTTGTAGCATAATACAAATATTTACCTAAACCTATTAATTCAGACTTCTTCTTTTCAGTACTTAATAATTCAATCAATTTGAACATACTTGGTCTTCTGTAGTAGTATTGCTTAATGTAAAGAGAACGTATATTAGAGTAACTATATATTACAAACACATATAAAATGGAATTCATCTTCTATTTCATTACTATCGCAAAGCTGACATATGCGTTCCTCTCGGGTATTCTATTAGCACCATATCTACCTGTTTCAATCCGAAGTTTATGTGACGTTAATCTTAATCTTGCTATGCAATTTCTATAAGTTCTGTTATGGAGAATTTTCAGGTAGTTTGCCATTTTCAAATGAGTTATGCAAATGTACATATATATTACTTAACAATGGACTGTTTGAAATATCGCTAGAAAGTTTTTGCAAAAAGCAGTCAATCATCCTTTGTTTAAAAAGTTTAACAAAATATTTGGCTTCGTATTGAAATGGGTTGTTCCAAACATCAGAAAACCCGTACTCATTTAATATTCTATATACTTTAGAAGCCCAACATTGATTGTTGTTTTCATGTAATTCAAATGAAGCGTACATAGCAGTTTTCAAAATGATATTATCGCTATTAATTATTTTAAGCCAGTATGTAATAATTTGCACATATCGTTTAATAAATAATGGATAACGACCTAATTCGCTATAGATTGCTGCAGTACAAGTACTTTGTTTTCACTCCTAATATAGATTTACGCAGAATTTAAAGTATGTAATCGCTCTATATCCTTTGATTTAGAAAATCCCCAAAACAGCACTAGAATAGCTGAGAAACTGAACCGACAAAAGAGTCAAAAGCTGCAACGCAATGCTAGGGGTTAACTCATATTTATTGATGTTCTTAATAAAACAGACATTGCCTTTAAACCTTTACCAATTACGTATTGATTATTAAGTGTAAAAGATCCATTGTAATTAAAAACTACGCCTAGATAGTTGAAATTGTCGGCAATTTCTAATAGAATATCATTATAATACCAATTTTCATTATCTTTTAAAGGCCCTCTTTTCCTAAAAACATTATTTTGGTTTTAATTTGTATTCACCTCTAAACCCCATTTCATACAATATTCATATAATTTATTTAAACTATTTTGTAAATCCATAGGAGTTTTGGCAAGAATAGCCATATCATCTGCAAAAAGCAAAATAATTAAACACAAATCGAATAATGAAATACCACTATCAATATTTTCTTGTAGAAAAAGTTCAATATCCTCTAAAAACAGAGAGAATAAAATTGGCGAATTATTTAATTAGGCCCTGTTTCAAACCCAGCGAAATATCGAAAAATTCTGTAAAAGTGTTACAATGTTTTACACATGACTTCACAGTAGCGTACATTGCTTTGAATAATCTAAGTATTTTTCCATCCAAACCAACCTTACAGAGCTTAAACCATAAAGCATTCCTGTACACAGAATCAAAGGCCTTCTTTAGGTCTATAAAAGCGCAATAAAGGCGTAACTTTTGTGATAAGAAATATTCGATTAACGAATTTAAAACGAAAATCGCGTCGACTGTACTTACATTGACTTGACCAATTTTCAACACGCTTTGTTAAAACACTGGTAAACAATTTTCCGAAGTTGCTTTTAAGTGTTATTCCTCTGTAGTTATTGGGAGCATTTTTGTTATTCCCCCTTTTTATAAATTGGGACGATATAACCATATGACCAGGCTTTAGGAAAAAGACCTGAATCAAATATCTTATTAAAACAGTCGGTTAGATGTCCTGCAAGTATGTCTGCAGTTTCTATAAAATACTCATTAAGTAAATTATCAACAGGACATGAGGATTTAATACGATTCATACGACTTATTGTTTCACGAACTTCTTCTGTGGTAATTGGGATATTCAAAGACTCAAACGTGGGATTATTTACGTTAAAATCATTAATTATTATTTACAAAGTTTTCGATTTCTTCAATCTGTGTCGCATGTAATTCGTTAAACATATTTGAAAAGTACTCATGAAATTCTGCTGGCGTAATATTGCTTGTATTATCCTTTTTATTTTGTTTAAAATGTTTCCAGAAGTCCCGGGGTTTCTTATGTCGTAAATCACTTAATTCTTGAGACTTACGTAATTTAAATGCCCTTTTCTTTTCTCTTATCAATATAAAGAAAACATGTACACACCTGTCATAGCTTTCGCCAGTCGCAGCGGCCTGCAAATAATGATTACAATTAACGCAGAAAGCGGGGCATTCGATTGCAACGCAGCCATTAATGTCTATTTTGAGAATTTAACTTGACATAAAGCACTTTTGAATTGAGTACAACCCTTTTCTCACTTTGATATAAAAAATGTGTATTGGTGTTTTAAACAATATATAGAGGATATTCAAGTTTCTTCCATAAATATTTCACGACTGGCAATAGCCACGAGTGAAATATGTTAATTTTCATACCACAAGATGAAAATAAATCCTGTATTTATGGAAAAAACTTGAATTTTCTGTTTACTATTTACCTTTTTTCCTCATTTAGCCTATGAATAGGAAGAGTTCCCTTTTAATTTTGTTTATTAGCTGAATTTAGAAGAAAGTAGTCCGGCAAAACACCAGTGAAAATACGGAAAATACCAGTGAAAAATAATTTTTTACAGTGAAAATACGGAAAATAAAAATATGCATTTTATTTCATCAATATTTCTCAAAATGAAATAGATGTGCGAGTTCCATTTCAATTTTCCTTCCATTTAAAGTCCTTTATCCTTTTAGTTACATTATAATTTTTATTTTATATGTTCAATTGTGTGTTGCATTCAGTATTAAAAGAAATATCCCTTATAAAAATATGTGTTAAATCAATACCTTGATTCGTCTGGCAAGCAGCCAAGTTTGAGCACCTACGGAACGTCACGATTTACTTTGCGTCAATAAAAACAACAGTACATAAAGTATTCACATTCATCAGCTTTGCACTTCAGGACAAATTTAAAGTGTTTTTCATAGTGACTGGAAGTCAAAATATAACTTTGCTTACATTTTCCTAGTTTTCTCAGTTATTTCACATTCAGCGGTATTTTCTTCAGGTGTCAAGCATCTTGCATGTTCTTAACCTTTTCCCTCATAGAAGCGTGTTTTGACGGCTTTTTGTCCATCCCCCCTTTTTGAGGCCTCAACAGCGAAAAATGTCCTATTTAGGCCCCAAACACCGTTTGTTTGAGAAATGTTGCTAAAAAGTGACGCCTTTTTCGAGGCGCCCCCTATCAAAATGATACATCAGGGGGTTGCTAGAAGTTCTGTTTGGGGTGTTTGAAGTGGGGCGACAGTCCCCTCATCGCCAAGAAAATTTTGGACATGTGACAAGCTAAAAATTGCCTCAGGTCGATCTTAAGGTGACGTGAAACCAACGCTGAAAAGCCTTTTACTCTATCTCATTGCATTGAGAAGTTGGAGCACTTTGAAATCAGTTTTGATGAAAAAACAACAACAATGCAAAAAAGTGATTTTTCGCAATCTTGCGACGTCCCCCGTTGCCATTGTAACAGGAAATTTAAGATTGAGCATGTTGTTACAGAGGTTATGGTTCAGCCAACATATGTGCCAAGTTTCATCAGTATTGAAGCATTTTTCATAGTTTTTTAGCAGTTGGAACTTGTAACAGGAGGCTTTTCAATGAAAACGGCCATTTTTCACAATATGCTCATGGGGTAAAAGGTTAATCCATAAATACAAGATGGTAAAACACGTCCATGAACTTTCTACATAATGCACACTTAATTCATTTCTGGAACTTTAAAAATAATAGGATGTATCATTTTCTAATTATTTCATTATAAATGCATGGCAGTGTGCACTTGGCTTAAATAAAATGATTTTTTTTTTATTAAGCTACGCTCTTCCTAAGAGCTTTGTCCCTTTATTTTAATTGGATTTAAGTCCGAAAAGTTTAATTGGAATCGTCAAGTAAGTGAATCGGCTGCTGTAATAAGCTTTGGAACTTTGTCAATAGAAGTCCATGAAATAACCTCCGTGTAAGTATGTAAAAAATCATTATTTATTGACCGTCATTGACGTCCGTAGTCGAGTGGCATGGTAAGTTTCATATCTTAAATAAATGTCCTATAATATTGTGTATCAGATTTTTTTTTATCCTGACCTTTGAATGGAGACTGAATTATAAAGCCATTATTTATACACTTCCGGTTAGGCGACATTCAGCACCAATCTATGGTGAATGTTTATATTTCTTGGTCCCTGTGAGAAAGGGCGACAGTATTACAGACGTAACAAAATGAGCAGAATTCCGTGCGTTTTTTTATAAAGGTTAAGCTTAATTATAAAGTAATGTGTGGAGTTGAGAATACGATATTTCATCAGGACTTACACTCACAATTTGTACTCTTTTTGTAATACATAAAAGAAAAAACCGGCAAAAAAATATGTCAAGGAAATTTGCTAGTAATTTATCAAATACTTTTGTGTACCTATCTTTAACAAAGATTCAGTTGAAGATCACTACTGCATCAACTGGTTAATGTCCAAATTCTATCAACAGTTTTAGTCGCATCTGTTAAGACTGAAAGCAGTTATTGGACAGATAACTCTAATAGTAATACCGTCTGTAAAATTCTTGATAAAATATCTTTTCTAGGATTCTTGTAGTATCTTCTGGAACTTGAATATATAACAAAACAATGGTATCTGACAAACTCTAAAGTCTTTTATTTGTTAAAATCTATCTTAAAATCTATCTTCAAACAGCAAGAGAAAAAACAACAACAACAAACTGATACTTTGAAAACATGCCCATTCTATATATTATCCAACTACTTCACCTATTACAAAACAGTTGTAATTATGTACATTAAAATCTAGCCAAAATACAAGCATGAGTTTATGTCAGTTGATTTTTATTAAGTTTAACAAAACAGTTATGTTGAGCAAATATTCCCTTTGAGGATATCTCAGAGAAAAAATGGTAACAAAAATGTTTAATTTGTGTCAAAATATTTCAGTAAGAGTGGCAAGATCATACAACCAATATAATATCCTGACAAGATGACACAGTTAACTACTTCCTGTGTCACAGTTACATACAAATATTCTCATATAAATAACACATATATTACATGTAGTGGGTAACAGTGTTTTCCTCAGTATGATATTTTTGCTGTTACTCACAAACCTATGTGTAATTTATCTTATTACCTAGAACAAATACTTCATAAGGACACTGTTTCTTTAGGAATTTATTTTTCTGATTTTTACTGTGAAAAAGAACTGTTCCCTTTGTAACAGTATATAAATAACACATGGGTTTGTGGGTAACAGTAAAAATATCATCCCGAGGAAAATACTGTTACCCGAGGCGTAGCCGAGGGTAACAGTATTTATACGAGGGATGATATTTTTACTGTTACCCACAAACCCATGTGCTATTTATTTTATTACCCCGAACAAATACTGGGATGATCTGAATTTCTCAACTAAATCTAACTGTAACAAAAATAAGCCAAGAGAAGCAATAACTAAACTGTCCTTACCTTGCAAGTTTTAAGTGCACTGTAGGCCTACTTGAGAAGATGTTTTTCTTTTATTCCTTAGGCAAGTGATGATATCTACCAGTCATAAACATAAAATAAGCTGTGTTTTGTTCAGAAAACAAAACACTAACCCATTTATAAGGTTATGATCTGTGAAATCTGATCCTTCTGCATTCAGAATATTCTTCGCATAGTATTTAGAAAATAACGATGCTATCCTACAGATGTCTGTCCACCAACTCTACTGTATCTGTAACGTTTCACTGGTTAAAATTGTTAAATTATCCTTTGTTGCATGCTTTAATTGTCTGCATGTTCCAGTTTGACACAAAATTATTTACATTACAATTACTTCCGCTGAAAACGGATGTTTCCTGTTGACTATTCAACAAAAAGATATTTAATACGCGAAAGGGACTCTAGGGTGCAAAGAACTAAATTTTATCAGAGTAATAGTTACTTCGGCGATGCCCTATCGTCGAAAATAAGAATGAATCGAGAAAAAAATGGCGGCCATTTTATTTCATTTTATTTAGAAAATAGACCACGTGACTAGATTTTATACTGTTAAAAAATACTGTTACCTATGTAACAGTACAAAATTCGTAGTCACGTGGTACACTTGCATTAACAGTAAGAATAACTCCCAGAGGCCTATGGGAAATTAACATTACGAAAAAAGTGAGGGGTAATAATACAAAATTTTTAGTCACATGGTACATTTTAATTAACATATAAAATAACTTCCATTGATCTATGGGAAATTAACATTACAAAAAAGTGAGGGGTAATAAAATTATGTATGAGCCGCATCACGACAAAACCAACATAGTGCGTTTGCGACCAACATGGATCCATGCCGTTTGCTTACAAACCCTGGATAACAAGTAGAGAAACTGACAGCGAACAGATGGATCCTGATCAGATTGCGTGAATGCACAGGCTGGTCTGGATCCATGCTGGTCGCAAACACACTATGTTGGTTTTGTCATGGCGCGACTCATATATAATGGCTCAAAATAAACAAGAGGGCCATGATGGCCCTGAGGTCGCTCACCTGTATATAGCCCCCCCACCCCGGGCCAATTTTTACCCAAGGGCTTTTATTTGAACAGACTTGGTAGACACCCATAAGAAGATGTTTCATGCTAAACATCTAAGTTCTGGCTCATTGGATTTTTTTAAAAGAAGATTTTTTAAGTTTTTAGTATACACATATAGTTAAAAACAATGACACCCCTGGGGCAGGGCCAGTTTTGAGCCCCGGGCTTTTATTTGAACAAACTTTGTAGATATTTACTTAAAAATGTTTCATGTATAATAATTATCTAAACTCAAGCTATTTGGGTTTTTTCAAAGAAGATTTTTAAGTTTTTGCTATACACATATAAGGAAAATCAATGACCCCCGGGGCGGGCCAGTTTTGACCCCAGGGCTTTTATTTGAACATACTTGGTAGACACCCATTAGAACATGTTTCATGCTAAATATCTTAGCTCTAGCTCTTTGAGTTCTTTAAAAGAAGATTTTTTAAGTTTTTACTATATGCATATAGGGAAAATCAATGACCCCCTGGGGCGGGGCCAATTTTGACCCCAGGGCTTTTATTTGAACAAACTTGGTAGACACTCATTAGAAGATGTTTCATGCCAAATATCTAAGCTCTAGCTCTTACGGTTCTTTAAAAGAAGATATTTAAAGATTTTTCTTTCGGTTGCCATGGCAACCAGAGTTCTGCATGAAATGGAATTCTTTGAACAATCTTGATAGAGCTTCATACAAAGAGTATTCCTGCCAAGTTTCATTAACATTGGCCTTGCGGTATCATAGAAGATGTCCTTAGAATATTTAAAATGTGGACGGACGACTGACGACGGACGCCATTTGGTTGGCCATCCTAAAAGCTCACCTGCACTTTGTGCAAGGTGAGCTAAACAGAAAATACAGATACTGACAGCTATTGGCCTCATTAATGGATTCAATACTTCAAACTACAATAGGCTGTTCACATAACACTTGTGCAATTTCGGTAAAATTAAGTAAAGAACAACGTTGTATACAATTTAAAGTATCATATATCATTAACAAATAAATAAATAAACAAACTTAAAGTATCAGTAGAATGCAAAAATCAACAACATGTAAAATTATATATAAATGAAAATAAAGTATGAGGTGAAGGGGACAGGATATGTGGTAGAGGTATGTTTTGTGTTGTTTATACATGTACTTAAATCTCCTTGTCATAATGGTTAACAACTCAAGAGTCACTTACAAAGAAATCAGTACATAACACTAATAAATACTCAAGTTTTCTATAAAGGAAGAAAATAAAATAATTAAAAAGCACCATAAAACTTCAGCTTTTTCCTCAATTTTCTTTTTTCTGAAAACAAAAATACGAACACACCCAAACATGGTCATTAAATAAAGGCAGTAAGAGCAGAAGTGTAAAAGTTAGAAGACCACTCAGACTGGATCCATGCTGGTCGCACACGCAATACATTGGTTTTGTCATGATGCGGCTCATTTCTAATTATTCTCTTTACAATACTAGTCTTCATAACCTTCAGGCATTATAAAATAGCCTTACATTACTGTAACAGATTTATAAAAAAAACACAAGTTCATGTATACTAAAACAATAAAATACTGTTAATAAAATACAGTACCACTCGTGTTAAATATTACCTTCATCCAGCCGACCTGCATATAAAGTATCCCTTTTTTTACTTTTCCTAATTGAAAAATCATCTGTCTCAAGACAGCATTTGTCATCTTAATTAATACAAATTACTATCTCCTTGAATGGTTTTCCGAGATGAGTTTGACTGAGGTATATTCTGACTGAATAACATAATTATTATGTTGACTGGATTATAAACATATATCATATTTATCTATCAAACATCTCTAAAGTACATGTATTACCACAAATGCATTTTCTGAAGATAAATAACAATATCTCTTTAATTTCAACACAAGACTTTTTAAGACTAGTATGACAAAAGTAGTTACAACATTAATGGTAAAGCAATTATAATTAAAAAGAACACAAACATGGATTTAAGTAACAAAACTAGGTTTACAGAGTTTACGAGTTTTGCGATCAGCTGCCAATGTGACGTCAACAATTACTTGCTGATTTTTAAAAATGGCACAGTTTTCAACCAAAAATAGTAAGCAGCTTTAGCATTTAAAGCCATTGTAATATCTAGGCTGATACCAGGAAATGTAGTCTGGAATTTTAAGCTAAAACATTACTATTCTATTTCAGACAATTTAAAATGTTTAAAATACAAGTCAACGTGGTTTAAACGACTTTAAAAGCTCTAAACAAGTCTTAATATTCAGACCAATCAATGCCCTCTAATAGTTTACTAATTTAACTACCATATTATAATATAAGGTACACAGTTGAGGGTATATACATGTACAAGTTTGTATAAATTCTGTATTGCACAATGCCACTACTGTCATTAATAAATACCATGAAAATCATAAAACAAAAGTAAAAGATTGTGCACAGTATTGACGGAATGTGAAAATAACTGCCGATGATTTCTCAGCAGACAATAAAAACAAGTGATATGCTTACATAGATATAACAAGCATTTTCTTTAAATGCAGTACAGAACATACATATACAACCTTGTGGCATTCACAAATCTAAGGGGAACAACTCTCATAACATATTGAAAACAATAAAACTTAATAACTTAATATTTAGCATAGAGACTTAAATTCTTAACAAAAACTGAAACAAAAAGGAAGCCTGGTAATGTGGTCCCAAAACATCTATTTGTTGAAATAATTTGCCATTCAATGTTACCTTTAAAATCTGTACTTATAATGGAAACTGTAAATGTGTATAGATATATTAGTTAAACTGTGAAAAGTGAGAAATAAATTGTGATACAGACATGGCTAATAATTGGTTTTTTACAGTTAGTTAAAGAAAAAAAGAAAGATTAAAAACCATTATTGCATTTTTTCACCACACAGCCCTGTTATTTATTATATTTACTTACCTCTAAAATAAATCAGAATAATTGCATAACAATACCAGAATAAAAAGAAATAAATCATTTTATTTATCATTTTAAAAGTCAAAAAAATCTAAAACTACATATATACTATACTTATATTCTTTCATTACAATAAATCTTAAATACAACCTTTCACATCAATAAAGCAAAATCAATAGGAAAGTACAAATCAAACAAACAATAATTATTGATTACAATTCACAGGTAAAATGTTAATTGTGAAAGACATTGATTTATTTAAAACATCATATATACAACTATTATTTCAATGATTGCCATTTTGATTATAAAATATGTCAATAACCATGGCATTTGTAGATACAAATGTTTTTAGTTTTTTTTTGCTGTATGTCTGACAATGGTTTTACATCAACCCATCATATTGTTCATGTAGTGTATTAACACATAGACAGATCATTTTATGATTCCAAATATCTATTACCCAATTGAATATTTTAATGAGGGATATTGTTTCTTCAATAAAACAAGACATTAAGATAAACAAGTATAAGTCGCAAGATATGATTTGAAATTTTGGTTTTGATATTTATTTATTTTTTAGATTTAAAAATAAAATCTCATATAATGTACATAACAATATTTAACCATAACATGCTTTAACTTGGAAAGTAACAATAAAAAAATCTAAAATAAAATACAAGGAAACATTAAAATTCAATAGTGTAGTCTTAGCATATATGCAAAAAAAATGTTTAAAAAAACAACCAATTTCAATTACACTTCATTGTATATACAACCTAACATGCTTATAATGAATTTCAATACAAACAAAATACAATTGTCAAGTTACCAGAATAAAATGAAGTAACCTAACCTGCATATAAACATTTATAATCCTGCACAAGATTATGAAACAAAATCTTTAAAAAAAGTTAATGGCTTCCCAAATATATAGTATACACTAACAAACCCAATCAAATCAGATTTTTAAAAAATCAAATATATATTGACATGAAAAGACAGGTCTATAGAAACAATATGTATCAGCATCAACCTAACAATATATCAGCAAAGACCCTTACATTGTTTCAGCACATACCTTACATTGTTTCAGAACAAACCTTACTTTGTTTCAGAACAAACCTTAAAATGCCTCAGCGCAGACCTAACAATATATCAACAAAGACCAAACATTGTTATAGCCAAGATCTAAATTGTATCAGCACAAATCTTACAATTTATCAGCACAGACCTTACAATTTATCAGCACAGAAATAACATTGTTTCCGCACTTACCTATCAATTAATGAACTCAGACCTAACAGTGTACAAACACATCAGCAATGTTTATTAAACTTTATCAAATCAAAACAAAGTGTGAACATTTTATATCAATAATAAAACAATTTAAACAAGTACACAACTATTTGTTAACTGTTATTTTGATACGCTTTAACTAATATTCAGAAGCAAACAGTCCTATAACCTATAATATGTTTAAAAACAAAAGTAAAGGCTTATTGTAGTGACAAACATTGGTCAAAATAACTAGAGTTGACTGTAGTATCAAATATTAATACTATCTTACAACCAAATCATTCTCTTTAAAATCATGCAATACAATGATGATGAGCACAATGAATTTTACATAAACTATGAAATGATAACTTGTTTTATATAAAATTATCTGTATGTTACAGTAAAAGAATAAACATCAGACTTAACAATAAGTTCATGTAAGTAATAGATTATTGATTATGAAGGATAGCTATAAATGTTTTGTTATATGAGCCGTGTCATGACAAAACCTGCGCATCCCCGCAGTCTGATCAGGATCCATGCTGTTCGCTATAAGTTTCTCTACTTGTAATAGGGTTTGTAAGCTAATAGCATGGATCCTGATCAGACTGCGCGGATGTGCAGGCTGGTCTGGATCCATGCTGGTCCCAAACCCATTATGTTGGTTTTGTCGTGACGCGGCTCAATTATGTAGTGTGAGGAAACAATCCTCTTACATTCATTGAAATATTCTGTTTTTATACAAAATTCCTTCTTTTCTTTCATTGTAATTTTATCAAAATCTTGGTTTCAACTTGCCTTGAGTATAGAAATAAAATCTAAAGTTTAAAATTTCAAGTGGATTTCAGTAATCAAACAGTGTAAATTTACAAATATGTAGTGACAATCACAAGTCAAGCAATTATATCTAAAAGGAGTCTCTCACACTGAAAATTACATGCTACACAGTATTGTATATATATATATATATATATTATGGCATAATACCTGGAATCTAATACAAAGTGCTATACAGCTTTGATAAATCTACCAAAATCACATGGAATTCTATATACTGCCAAGAGGACAGATCACATTTATCTCCACTGATGTAACCATGCCAACTTAAACATTCTATTCTTCTTTGTTTACTTTAATATTCGCATTGGGATCAGGTTGAGTTAATTGTTTATGAACGCCTTTCAGAAGTCTGTGAAACCATTTGATATTTAACGCATCTAACAATAGACACGAAAAGAGCAGTACATATCTACAATGTTGTGCACGATTGAATGATTCTGTTCCATACACTGAGTAAATCATATACCAGCATTGTGGCAAGGTAAAGATTCTACAGAAGAAGAACACTGCTGTCAGTATACAACCGTTGTAGAAGTATACTTTACTCGACCTCTTCCCCATCTCTGCTAGAAACCACCTGAAATATATATTATAATACTGCATGTTTGTAACGTCGCTTTTCATTGGATAAGCGTGAAGTTTATATAGTTTTATACACACAGCTGCTGTCAATTTATAAAGAAATCTCTCTTTATTCCTCTAAAACGATCCTTGCTGTATTATAAATTCTATATAAATATTTCTGACAAGTTATATGGCCCTATATAAACGGTTGTTTGCAATATAACCCTTGCCTTGTGGCTCCAGTTATATTTACAAACAGCGGTTTATATAGGGCCATATATTCTGTCATAAATCTTTATTACTTATATTATACAAGACATCAGGTGACAGTGTATCTACAATGTTAAAGAACTGATTTTACCGCCCAATACTCATAGTCATGTATATAATGCATGCACTTCTACAAAGAAAGAAATATGATATAACACAGTAAAAGAAGGCATTTGCAAAAGGACAGAAATTACAAAAGGTAAAAATATGCAAAAATAGCCATTACTTTGTAAGGTATGAAGTATAATGTGGTGATAAATACGGCAAAATCAGTCATTAATCGCACATAACAGCTTAATTATTACAAAATGTACTTGAATCTTGAACTTAAAAGTACATTTTTCTCAAGTCTGAATTTCTTGAAATATGTTGGGTCATGTAGCTTTAAAAGGAGACTGTAAATTTATTGGTATTAGGGATATACCTGTACCAGCATGTTTAATGTCACACAGCCAGACACATGCAGGAATCTTAGTAGAACCACAAATCCTAAAATACTGGCGAGCTATTCACTAATCTTCCGTAAGTTTGGTGTATCTTACGCAAAACGTAAATTTATGTTAGTGATATGTTAAACAGAACGTGAAATCTACGCAAGCAATAAGTGAGAATAACTTTACGTTTAAACATACGCAAATGCATAGCTAACAAAGTTTAATGAAACACAAATAAATACACAAGTCCTGCTTACGCAAAAAGTTACGTTCAAACTCGAGTTACTATCATGTAAGTACGTTGGTGAAACGCACCCCAGGTATCTCGGTAACTTACTAATATGATTATAGATAATCATTTCAACATTATGAATCCTGGTGGCATTTTTATCTTGCCTATGTAATTTTTAGAGCCTGGCGAGTCAGCACATCTGTCCAGTGTGAACAGACTGTACAATGATGGCTGCATAATTTAGTATGTTGATATTGAAATCTCTTAAAATCAACATCATGCAGTTCTAAATAATTTAATTCAAAACAAATACAATACACAAATTAAACAGGGTCAAGATTAAAGTTATAAATTTACGGCAGTAAATGGCCTCTCCAGTAGTTAAAAGTTTGTTGTAACAACACCCTAGGTGATATAATACCTAGAATGAATGATAACTGTCAGGAAAAGACATTGGCAATGTTACTCTGGTGAAACATTCTGACTGAATGAAAAATTCAGTAAAACATATATCAATCCTATAACTAGGATGAAATCAAATGATCATTCAATTTTACCATGATAAGTTTGTCACTTACAATAAAGATGAAATAATTACCTGTTATTTACCCAGGGTGTAGAAAATTCTGCCATTAGACGAAAATTGGCAAAATAGACAAACACACCATATGACTGAAAAAAAGGTCAAATGTTGTAAATTAATATAAACATTGTACATTGTATTACAGGTATTTCACATGTTGTAAATTAATATATACATTGTACATTGTATTACAGGTATTTCACAGGCAGACTTTTTAATGTCTTCTTTTAGTGCTGCAGCAATTTGGACATTATCAAAAATGTAAATTATGGTCAAATCTTGTTATCTTGATTTAGTTGTTAAAATAAAAATCTTTCAGACTTTTTATACTCGTTACTGAAATTTCACTTTGAGATACTGACAATCTGAGATAAGAAAAACAAGATAAACAAATAATGCTTGCATAGATAAAGAAGACATGAGAAAAGTAGGACTTTGACCAAAATACCGAAAAAGTGAGATAAGCTAGGTAGAGATAACAAGAGTTGACTGTTTGAATGAATAACTACATGTTACATGTTGATCTATATTACATACATATAAAATCTCCTGATAACCTTTTAAATTAGTAAATAGTTACATTTAGCATATTTTATTGCTTAAGTGTTTCTGTCTAGAAATGATAAAACAGCAAAATTTTAGTTAACCATTACAATAATATAAAACTAACTTATAGATTACATATGTAATCAGTGTAAAAATCAGAAAAAAAATTCATGGAAGAAAATGCTTTTTACACATACCATGACATAATAATATGCAAATGCAGATGCAAAATGGTGTAATATATAAAACCAATCTCCAATCTGTTTGTAGTATCTCAAAATAAATAGAGAATCTGAAAAAAGATAATACATGTACAATTAAAGCTGAAAAAAGATAATACAATTTAAGCAAGAAATGTTTGTTAAACAAATAACCAATTAGACATGTTACATGGACTTCTTAACAATTCACTATATTAAGACAATGTCTGTTAATATGGTCACGTTGATATGTTGTCCTCGTGTCGCTCAATTTCAAAGTAGATTTTTTTTTTTCTTTCTTTCCCATTACCTGAACCCTTGAACTTCAAAATCGGTAGGAGTCCTCTACAAATCATTACCAAACATTCTACCAAAGCTGTAGATAGTTAAGCAGCTTTTGTTGTGAGGGTCAGTGACCTTGACTGCAAAATCAACAATTGTGATTCACTAGTTGTGACCAACATTCCTGTGACCACAGATACCTTAACAAGGGTTATCTTTAGAACATGAGCAACATTCACACAAAAAATGAGGACTGTATGCCTGAGCATTATTCCATTGATTGACTGGGGTCAAGGTCACAGTGACCTTGAAATTTGACCTCCTGACCCAAGTATCAACAAGGGTTATCTACAGGTCATAACCAACCTCTCTACCACCAAACCTTCAGACTGTGACACAGCATTATCAAGTTATTGTTTTGACAGAATAATGTCTACAGACAAACCGATGAACCAATAAGTGAAAAGCAATATACCCCTGCCTCTTAAATAAGGTAGGCATAATAATCTAAAAATCTAAATTGTTGGTTCTATTTTAATTTAATATACAATAAATATTTTTTAACCACAACAATCTTTTTGTGTATAATACTAATTAAGAACTTTTATCACTAGCCCTGCAAGTGCAACAGTTCCCTTATGATAAGTATACAACATGATCTGACTGAATCACTTATATACCACTTTCACTATAATGATTAAATTACTCTTATAAAATAGTTTAAATTGGGCAGATTACAGGTATTTTTCACTCAGTCTTACCTGCAGCTAAATATCCAACCAAAATTGCACAGCTTGTTTTCACTAAAGAGCTGTGTCCCCTGAAATATACCAATATTGTCACACATTAAATAACACACAAACTATATATATCATTGACTAAATAATGTTAAATTGAAGCTCAAAACAAACAGCTCTCAGACCACATGAACCTGTATTATTATCAAATGTTTAACAGAATTACAAGTCAAATATACTGTCCAATTTCCATGACAATTTCCCAAGTTTAACTTTTGAAAAATACCCTTGATACATTCAGGCAACTAAGCAAAACCACAGACCAAATAGAACCACCACACAGGTAGAACCATTGACTTCTAATTTGCCTTTCAACATCATGAAGCATAAAAGGTTCTTTTCGTTCAATTTGTGATTTCATAAAATCTTTTATCTACAGTACAATATTAAACAAAAAATTTGACGTATAAAACACTTAATGAAAAAATATCATAACAATTTCTTCTTTTTGCATGAATAAATTAAGCACCTGATATAAACATGTCTAGGAAGAACAACCAACATTTATATACATGTAAAATTATTACCATACAGGATCCTCTTTGAGATAGCCTTCAAATAAGAGAGTATATATACACAGAGCACTTACAACAAAGGCATGTACAGTGGAACATGTACTGAAAAGAAAAAAAAGGAACATGGATTTGTTTGTTTAATTTTTTCCATTTTGAGAGCAAAATGGTGCTTTTAAACATCATAACAGTTACATAATCTAGATATTGAAGATACAAGGATTTCACATAAAGTCTGTCACTGTGACTTTGTCTAATGACCTCTAACTGGCAATGGGCTATTTCTTAACTAGTTTTAACAAACCACAGCTTATTCCTTCTGAAGTTACTGTTCAAATTTGATAAAGTAGATGAAGTTCAGAAAATTTAAGTGGATGTATATAAAACTCCTTTTTATGACATTTTCACTATCATTTTATGACTTCAACAGGGCATAAACATTTCTATCTAAATCTATTTAAATATAAAAATTAATTTGATAAAAACATTATACATTGTGTCAATACATACCATGTGTGCCAGTAAATTTGTTTATCCTTTGAAAGTGTGTCTAGTCCAGGAAATATCATACGTGAAACAAGCGGACTGAGATACTTGAAAAATATAACAACTATCACACATGATACCAGTGATATTGGGTAAAATGTACTGTCAAATACTGCTGGAAATTCTTCCATCTTGCTTTTATTGCTCCACAATTACTTTCTCATCTACAAAACAAGAGTTATATTGACCTTAGGATGATACTGATTAACAAGAATAAATTGTGACTAAGCAGCAAATGTGATTGGTTCCTTAAATCATAACAAGGGTGTCAGTAATCATATGTAACCTGATGATAGGCAGTTAAGCAGTTGTATTGAATGAGGGGTGACTAGACAATTTGTTGCGGCTACATTGTACTTTGTAGCATGTTGCAGCTACCGTGTAGCAGCAGATACAAAATCATTAACAGGCCAAAATGAATTTTTGATTCAAGGGCCATAACTCAGACCAATATCATTCAACTGGAAATCCCTTTAAATATGGGCTAGTACTTGAAGTAAGATCAATCCTGTAAAGTTTCACTCAAATTACATTAGTAGTTTAGGAGTAGTCCAAACAAATAACAAGAAGACCATGATGGCCCTGAAATCGCTCTCCTGAACATAAAGCTCTCCATGACAAGGAACAAGTAATAATGTAATCTATAAACAAAAACAGATATAAAAGCTAAATCTAAAGCTGATATCCCAAAGTTCATATTTGTATCTAAAAAAGTGCATGTGTTAAAACATTACTGGTTGCTATTGCTAAGGGAAAACATCAGTTCAAAAAGATGTGTCTATAATTATAAGAAAAATCAATGATCCCCTGGGGTGGGACCAATTTTACCCCTGGGCTTCTATTTGAACAAATTTGGTAAACACCTATCATGCTTAATATCTAACCTCTATATTTATGGGGTTTTTAAAAGAAAGTTTTTACTATAAACATATAAGGAATATCCCCTTGGGCGGGGCCAATTTTGACTAAACATGGTAGACACACATAAGAAGATTTTTCATGCTTAATATCTAAACTCTAGCTCTTAAGGTTTTTCAAAAGAAGATATTTTTAATTTTTACTATGTACATATAAGGAAAATCAATAACCCTTGGGTTTTTTACCCCAGGGTTTTTACTTGAACAATCTTGGTAGACACCCATTAAAAGATGTTTCATGCTACATAACTAAGCTCTAGCTCTATGGGTTTTTAAAAAAAGAAGATTTTTTGGTTCTTGCTATATACATATAAGGAAAATAAATGACCCCTTGGGGCCAATTTTGACCCCAGGGGTTTTATTAATACAAACTTAGTAGACACCCATTAGAAGATGTTTCATGCTTAATGTCTAAGCTCTAGCTTTTGTTGTTTTTTTTAAAAGTTGGTTCTTTTGGTTGCCATGGCAACCAGAGTTCTGCATGGAATTAAATTCTTTAAACAATTTATAAAGGTGACCACCAAAGGAACATTTCTGTGAAGTTTGGATGAAATTGGCTTAGTGGCTTATGAGGAGATGTCGTTTAAAGTAAAATTTTACGAACAGCCTGACGTCGGACGAAAAGCGATCACAAAAGCTCACCATGTCATTTTGTGACAGGTGAGCTAAAAATAATTAAAGGGCCACAACTCTGACAAAAATTACTAAACTGAAAATTTCTGACTTTATGCACAACCAAACTCATTCCTGTAAAGTTTGGATGAAATTGCACCATAGTTTTTGAAGAGCAGTCCAGACAAGTTTTGTGATAGGGTGAGATGGACCGGCAGAGAAGTGATCCCTATATGTAGACACAAAAATTATCATATTCAATTTTAATGTTTGAATATTAAATAGTAAACACATAGATATTAATTTATAATAAAATCACAATAATTTCATGCATTTCAACAATTAATTTATAGGTACAAACCTACTTTGCAAGAATACTACTCTGGTCAATAAATCAATGAACTGTAACAAAGATTATCCTAAAACCTATGTATCCGACATATATATTTCTAATAATCTAATTACTAGGGGTATCTCAGAATTTATTTGATCAAACATTGACATTGTCACTAATCTAGACTTAAAATGTGTGCAATCACACTTGTGTACAATGAGATAACCATCCTTATTATCATAAACAAAATATGTCAAAATGTTTCATGTGATAAATTCATTGTGGTCATTTCGTTTAAACTTTTAACCCGAACACACTAAATATCTTAAATGGATTTGACCGTATTTCAGTATTGGTACAACCATTACAGTGATTTTCCCCTAGTATATTTTACAGCCAAATAAAGGCTGTTTTCTCTACCCCAAAACAGGTATATATTCCCCCATAAAATGCTATACATATTTTCCCCTGAAATGCCCTGTGCACATTCTTCACCAGAACCCTGACTTAACAGCAGCTGACTTACATCAGCTTTTTGATAAATTTATTTGACAGAGAGCTGTCCCTATAGATACCCTCTGCTATATACCATGCTTGTTAAATTGGACTGATTTTTTTTTTTATAAAATGTGTGGATAAATTCTATTCTCAGTTGTTGAAATCTCATTTAAGGTTTTCCCCCTTTGTCTGATTTATAGTGCTTATTTGTTCCTATTTGAAAATGACAAAAAATCAGTGCATTAAAAAATTGAGGGAAAAATACATGTATATACTGACTGAATTAGCAAACAGTGCAGATCAAGCACGGCACATATGTTGTCTGATCTTTGTCCTACACTAGAAGCACGAGTATCAGCAGGCTATAAACTAATGTTTGTATACAATGTACCTTAGAAATACTTTTGGCACTAAAAATCAGTAACTGCATATTGCTGCTTGAATAATTCATTTGTTAGACAGAAGTCAGAAGTCTAAACCAAATCATTTTGTAAGGAAACCCTTCAAAAGGTGCATGTATATTCATTTCATTACTGTTATGCAATTTTATAGTAAATAAGGATGGGCCTCAATATTGTAAGATAATCTATAACAGTAAATGTGAGCAAATAAACAAGTGGGTTTAACATTTACCACTGAGAAAGACTGTAAAATGTCTATAAATCAACAATTTACACCTAACTGCCTTATCTTTTCTATACGAAATCTGCTGTGGTCATAGTATTATTTTTACAATAGGTTTAGTCTTAAATTTGATTTGCAAATCATGGTCATGCAACTACATAATTAGATTAAGAAGCAAACAGGTGTTTTGGTTGAGTCTATTATGTTTTGTTTAGGGGGTTAGTTGTCATAAACAAATTTACAATTTGTATGCATTTATTACTTTGCAATGATTTTTATTACAGTATCTTAAATGCTTCTCGGATTGTTTAATAAAATTATTTGTATTTAAAAATGGTATATGTCCAATTAAAGGCATAATTTTAATGAAAATGAAAATAGTTCACACCTTCATATGCATTGATCACATGTTGGTTTCAGCCAATGAAAATCATCAACATAGTCGGGCAGGGAAAAAGTTTGCAAATAGTAAATCGATATTCTTTATGAAGAAAACAAACTTTGCATTGCAAGTGTTAGTTTTATACTATATTTTCGGCAAAAGAAACTGTCCAAGTAGGGCCAGGCATTTTCGTATCGTAAGATGGCTGCTGTTACACTATCATGTGATTATCCCAAGCACCACCACAACTTAGCACGGGAATTATAAATATAGCTAACCTGGGCGCGTAGTATAGGATAGGAAATACCTTTTTATATTCATTTGCAATTAATATTTACAAAACAGTATCTACAGGGTTTTATTGGATCAATTGATAACAAATTATAATGTTTTTGTAAATAAATAATTATGTCTCAAATCTGTGCACAATTTTAATATATTCTGTTCAGTGGAAGATGTGTAATTTTGAGTTTATGTTTTAGAGCTGTAAATTTGTCGTGCATGGTTATTTTTTATATGAAATCATTTTTCTCACGTGAAGGCTGGCAACATTAATAGATCTATTATGATTACATTTATTACATTCCATGTAAATGTTTTAAAATGTTAAAATCTGATGATATGTTTGATCATTATACATTACACATATGCAGCAAGCATAAAAAGTCTTCACAGAAGTTAGTATGCAATCGTACTTATATTACATACGAATGTATGTAATATTTTTCTTGTTATGAAAGAGATAAATTTTTTAATTTGTACTTGCTGAGCATGTCTTAATCAAATATAATAAAATCTAAATAATTATGTAAATATACGTATGTAATAAATGTAATATTTTTCTTGTTATGAAAGAGGTAAGTTTTTTATTTGTACTTGCTGAGCATGTCTTAATCAAATATAAAAAAATCTAAATATGTAAATATACGTATGTAATAAATGTAATATTTTTCTTGTTATGAAAGAGATAAGTTTTTTTATTTGTACTTGCTGAACATGTCTTAATCAAATATAATAAAATTTATGTGTGTATATCTCAAATTTTCATTGGAAGGCATGCTCTCTGCACTTCTGTTTTATATATCTTAGACTAGCTACATTAATCTAAGAAGTCAGCCAGAAATCTTGATAACATGCAGTCAGTGCAGACCAATATCAGCCAGCACAACTGAGCAGTCTGATGGTCTGCACTGTTCAACTAGTACTAATCAAACACCCAACAACTGAGAATGTAACACAGCCATACTTTTAATCAAATGTCAATAGTTCTTGTGGTGAAGACATGACAATGTCAATAACTTCAAGAATCTTATGACAATGTCAATAACTTCAAGAATCTTATGACAATGTCAATAACTTCAAGAATCTACATGTATCAAGTTATGACCTGGTTAGATAGGATTTGAACTCCTAGTAAGGCAACTGACCTTGACGGTAGGGACGTGCATCTTTCATACAACATATCAACTAAGTTGTAAGAACTTGTTTCGCAATCAAGCATAAATATTTTTAAACCAACTTAAATGATTTGTACCCATTTTTTAATAATCTCATTATGCATGTAGAAGTCAATGACCGGACACAAAAACCTTCTGCACTTAGCACTAAATGACAAAAACACTAAGTTCAATTACTTGATCTTGACCTTTGAGCTAGAGACCCAGGTCATGCACAATATATCGTCTTCTTGTGGTAATTAAGTGTACAATCTTATAATGTATGTAAATGTTATGACTCGAACACGAGTGTGACTTAAATAGGAAAGTGACTTTTTCTGATGAATGTCAGCAAAAGTGACTTTAAAAATACTAAATATGGCAAATTAACAGTTTAAATTGGAGCAAGATTCTGACCCAGAACAAAATATCTCAGAATCTAGCTTTAGCAGTTTAGCACAATTCATTCTCTCAACTTATTCTGCCTGTATATGAACGGTTATGCTGGATGCCACCATGCACCCCCCCCCCAACTCCCAGCATAGGCTGAATAAAATTTCAGCATTTAGACACACTTGGCAAAATTTGTAATTTTACATACAAAGATAATTCAACCAGACAAATTTGTTGGGTTTAGGCAATAGATCTACAGTTGATTTTATAATTATAAAGACATGTCACCATTTAAATCTTGCACTGTTACCTGTACGAATTGCTTTGCAAAAATATCCAATATACTTACTTTTTTAACAACATCTAACAGTGGTTCGAAATTAACTGTGGACGAATGATTAACACAGATTAATCTTGTTGTTATTAAGCACTAACTTGACAACGTTTACAACTTTGGATTATTTAAATGAACTGCAAAATTAAAAATAAAATCAGTTTCCTATGATGATATTGATGTTCCAAAATGTCATTAGTAAATTGAGCTTAAATAATGTAACTAAACGTGTCTCTGCGTTTGATAAATTAATTTCTAGAACGTACAATAAAGTCCATAGAAAAGTGAACACCACTAAATGATTTCCTTAAACAAATTGAACAAAATTTGGCTCGTTTGTCTTATCGCACTATCACAGAAACCTTTGACACCGAGAGACTGTGTTACAATGTTTTGTTTATTAGTGAATCTACTGTACATCTACATTGTATACTGCTTAACAATCAATTCTGATTATGACTAGCAGGCAATTTTAACAATCAAAAGAAAGCGGACAGTTAGAGAAAGGTTTTTAGCAAATAATAAATAATCTTAAAAAGTGATACATGGAAGTTTACAGTATACGTTTATTTATAATTTGCCATAAACCTTTCTTTAACTGTGAGATAAGTATTTTAAACAGTAAACCGTACTGCAGTACAGTAACCTCTTTCTTCAATTAAAGTAGTTTAAGTGATATATAGTAGTTAAACTACTTTGAAGAAAGAAGTTAACGTTTACTGTTTAAAATACTTATATCTCATGTGTATGTACCTAAATGAGGTCTGTCCTCAATTTAAGAGGTTTCTGAGTCAAAAAGTGAAAAACAGAATCCCTAAAGAAAGCCCAACACGGCAAACCTTTAAATGTTGCAGGCTCGGTTTGATTGAGCCTGTTCATGGACGGCAATGGAAAGTGCAAGTTACCGTCCACGCCCCCTTGCACCGGCTTAAGCAGAATTCAACATTTAACACGAAAATGGTGAAATTTTGAATCTAGAAACATCCGCAGATGTGTTCATACGGCGGTTATTATGGAACCTTCAATGTGACACAGTTGTGCCATTCCATGAAAAGCGGCGTATGGTCCCCAAGTAAAAGAATGCCTTTGCCCTAAACGAGAAAACAATGGGCGGAACTAAATAAAATGGAATTTTGAAAGGGGATCCGAGGTTATGAAATTAAGCCCGCATATCACAGATAAGACGTCAAAAGACAAATTTAAAAAGCAGGCAACATATCCTAAGGGTGATTATACAGTATTCAATTAGGAATTCTGGAACCACCCAAATTAAAAAAAGGCCAAATACAAGAAACTAAATTACCACCTTAAATGTATACAAAACAATAATGTCGTGCTGAACGATCTTCAAGGATCGAAAATATAATATCATTGATTAAATGTACGGGGAGACTTTTACAGCTGCCACACGGCACAAATAACACGGATGTGACAATGAAATAGTGAAAAACAGAATCCCTAAAGAAAGCCCAACACGGCAAAACTGTAAATGTTGCAGGCTCGGTTTGATTGAGCCTGTTCATGGACGATAATGGAAAGTGCAAGTTACCGTCCACGCCCCCTAGCACCGGCTTAAGCAGAATTCAACATTTAACACGAAAATGGTGAAATTTTGAATTTAGAAATATCCGCAGATGTCTTCATACGGCGGTTATCATGGAACCTTCAATGTGACACAGTTGTGCCATTCCATGAAAAGCGGCGTATGGTCCCCAAGTAAAAGAATGCTTTTGCCCTAAACGAGAAAACAATGGGCGGAACTAAATAAAATGGAATTTTGAAAGGGGATCTGAGGTTATGAAGCCCGCATATCACAGATAAGACGTCAAAAGACAAATTTAAAAAGCAGGCAACATATCCTAAGGGTGATTATACAGTATTCAATAAGGAATACTGGAACCACCCAAATTGAAAAAAGGCCAAATACAAGAAACTAAACTAGAACTATCACTAAATGTGATTAATACCCCCACAAGTCTGCTTCGGAAATGAGGATGTTTACTAGTAACAGAATACCTTGTAATAGAATTGAAACATAGAGTTATGGTTGTGGACAATTAAAGATAATTGTGGTTCATGTATGTTGCATTTCCTTTCAATGTGGTTGGCCATTGATGAAGTTTAATTGAATTACTCTGTAATAAGTCCAGAAAGACAAAGAAAAAGAACAAAGGGCAATAACTCTATAAATACTGAAGATAGAGTTATAGTTCTTGTGCACTGCACTTCCTCTTATTGTGCTTGACCATTGTATGAAGTTGTTTTGAATTCCAACCTGAGTACGTTTTAAGTTATGCACCGGACAAGGAAAAGTATCAAAGGGCAGTAACTCTGTATTTTGTCAAAATGGAGTTATGGCTCTTGTGCACTGCACTTCCTTTTAATGTCCTTGACAACTGTATGAAGTTGTACTGAATTCCAAACAGTAGTTTTCAAGTTATGCTCTGGACAAGGAAAAGTAACAAAGGGCAATAACTCTGTAATTAGTCAAGATGGAGTTATGGTTCTTGTGCACTGCACTTCCCCTTATTGTGCTTGACCATTGTATGAAGTTGTTTTGAATTCCAACCAGTAGTTTTAAAGTCATGCTCTGGACAAGGAAAAGAAACAAAGGGCAGTAACTCTGTAATAAGTCAAAATGGAGTTATGGTTCTTGTGCACTGCACTTCCTCTCAATGTGCTGGACCATTGTATGAAGTTATAATGAATTGCAACAATTAGTCTTCAAGTTATGGTCCGGACAAAAGAAAGCAATGGAAAAGTAATAAAGGGCAATAACTCTGTAATTACTTTATATAGAGTTATGGTTCTTATGCACTGCACTTCCTCTCAATGTGCTTGACCATTGTATGTAGTTATATTGAACTCCAACCATTAGTCTTCAAGTTATGGTCCGGACAAAAAAAAGAAGGCAATGGAAAAGCAACAAAGGGCAATAACTCTGTAATTACTTTAGATAGAGTTATAGTTCTTATGCACTGCACTTCCTCTCAATGTGCTTGACCATTGTATGTAGTTATATTGAATTCCAACCATTAGTCTTCAAGTTATGGTCCGGACAAAAAAAAGAAGGCAATGGAAAAGCAACAAAGGGCAATAACTCTGTAATTACTTTAGATAGAGTTATGGTTCTTGTGCACTGCACTTCCCCTTATTGTGTTTGACAATTGTATGAAGTTGTTTTGAATTCCAACCAGTAGTTTTCAAGTTATGCCACGGACAAGGAAAAGTAACAAAGGGCAATAACTCTGTAATTAGTCAAGATAGAGTTATGTTTCTTACGCACTGCACTTCCTCTCAATGTGATTGACCATTGTACGTAGTTATATTGAATTCCAACCATTAGTCTTCAAGTTATGCTCCGGACAAGGAAAATGCAACGGACAAAAAAAAAAGCAATGAAAAAGCAACAAAGGGCAATAACTCTGTAATTACTTTAGATAGAGTTATGGTTCTTGTGCACTGCACTTCCCCTTATTGTGTTTGACAATTGTATGAAGTTGTTTTGAATTCCAACCAGTAGTTTTCAAGTTATGCCCCGGACAAGGAAAAGTAACTAAGGGCAATAACTCTGTATAAGTCAAGAAAGAGTTATGGTTCTTGTGCACTGCACTTCCTCTCAATGTGCTTGACCATTGTATGTAGTTATATTGAATTCCAATAATTAGTTTTCAAGTTATGCTCCGGACAAGGAAAATGCAACGGACGTCTGGACCGACCGACCGACCGACCGACCGACCGCCCGACCGACCAACCGACCGACCGACCGACCGACCACCGGGTGACTCCTATATACCCCCCCAAACTTCGTTTTTGGGGGTATAATTACCACCTTAAATGTATACACAACAATAATGTCGTGCTGAACGATCTTCAAAGATCGAAAATATAACATCATTGATTAAATGTACGGGGAGACTTTTTACAGCCGCCACGCGGCACAAATAACACGGATGTGACAATGAAATAGTGAAAAACAGAATCCCTAAAGAAATCCCAACACGGCAAAACTTTAAATGTTGCAGGCTCGGTTTGATTGAGCCTGTTCATGGACGGTAATGGAAAGTGCAAGTTACCGTCCACGCCCCCTAGCACCGGCTTAAGCAGAATTCAACATTTAACACGAAAATGGTGAAAATTTGAATTTAGAAACATCCGCAGATGTGTTCATACGGCGGTTATCATGGAACCTTCAATGTGACACAGTTGTGCCATTCCATGAAAAGCGGCGTATGGTCCCTAAATAAAATATGTTACAAAAACCCGTGACCTCAAAATATGTTAAAAGTAACCATGATCATATAACATAAGTCCTTACATCCACAACCTTTAATTTTTACATATGTACGCTCATTGATGTACTCAATCTACAAGACAACTTAGAGGTCATGGATAAACTAGTCAATATTGTGTCTACAAATAACAAACATTTATTTTGGTCATAAATAGATAAGCTAACATAGAAAAAGGATAATATTATATATAACTTCACCTTGGTCGCAAAAATCACTTGGAGGTCATAGGGACAGAGGTCAATATGTCACTGGATCTCCAAATAAAAAATATTAACTGAAAGAGCTAGAAATCTTTACTTCACAGATGTATGCATTATGATACACTTTACCCGCAGGACATTTTTAGATATAAACAAATTTAATCAATGGTTAGGGTCCCTGCACAATAGCAAATATTTAAGTTGGAAATTGAATAAACATGCTTCCAACGAAATAAAATTTATAACTTCACATGCGTATACACCTTCTAGATCATCAGTCAGACCGCCTCCGTGGTCGAGGGGTTAGAGTCGATGACTTCTAATCCAGTAACCTCTCTGGCGTGGGTTCGATCCCCGGGAGATGCTTTGGTAGTTTAGCGCGGAGGAAGGTAGACTAGTACTGGTGTAACTCTCCAGGAACGATGGTTAGGAAACTACCCGCCTATATGACTGAAATACTGTTGGAAAAAGGCGTAAAATGAAACAAACAAACAAACAAAACTCATAGTCAGTTAAATTAAGGCCTTTGTGTCCAAGGTCAAAGTCAATGTGACGTAAGATAGTAAACACATGTACCAATCTTAGCAAAAAAATGAAAGTGCTTTCATCCGAACCATTTTATAACTTTATGCCCAAAGTATTCTTACTTCACATCTTTATGCACCTTTATGCACATTGATGCACTCTACCTGCAAGTCAGGTTCTAAGGTCTGGGTCACTCTGAC